GAACACAACTAGTTGAGACTTCCACATCACCCATTGGAGGGGTGTCTAAGCACTCTCGTGGGACGGCACGCCCGTCGTCTATTTTATAGACAGTTTCGAGGTACCCCTTGAGCGTCTCACATTTTTCATAATCTGAGACAGACAGCCCACCTGCGGGGTTCTCCAAAGTACCTACCGATCGCCTTAGTGCATTCTTCGATTGCACATAGCTATAGTACCTCTTGGTTCCTGGCGCGCTCTCTTGGCGATTTTCACCTCAAAAGCCATTTTCGCCTGGTTTACTAGTTTGCTAGCATAGTTTCTCGCTTTCTTATATTGTAGCCATCGATCAAGCCCTCGTGTGAGAACGAATGCCTTCCACCGACGAGCCCTTTCCCCTATGGCACGTTTGATGGCCGGCTTCTATCATTGCGGTTTGTGGGCATCACCCCGAGGCTGCAAGGGGGCATGCCCCTCCGTCAGCTCTATTAGCTGGTCGCGAATTTTCTCCCATCGTTGATCCACGGACGCTTCTGTTCCCTGCGGGAACCATGCTCTGGTCCGAGCATCTCGCCTCAAGTCCTCTATGTTCATTTGCCCGAAATTGCGGCACCATCTGCGGGGTGGCTTTTCCTTCTCAATGCATGGTTCCAGTAACAATACATTTTGGTCGCTTTTACCGAGAGGAACCTCATGCCTTAGGTCGCTGATCTCACTCTCTTGTCGCGTGAGGACCAGATCCAAGGTGAACGGTCTCTGCTCTAGCCGAATACGCGTTGGTTCTTTCACGTGCTGGTAGAGCGATGCCGCATGGAAGCAGTCCATGAATTCACGTTCTGCTTGCCCATCTCCCTCGTCTTCATACTCCCATTCTGTTCCAGGTAGGTTGAAATCCCCCACTATAACCGGCGAGTGATTTCCCCTACTGACTGCGGCAATGAGATTTAGTAGAGCTCGATCATCCTTCGGTCTAGCGCTTGGTGATCTGTAGACACCTAAGATGCAGAAGTGTCGGCCTCTATTTCTTACAATGCGGCCTGTAGCTTGCACTGTTGGTGTACACAGTGTTAGCTCAGGTATTTCCCATTGGATATATTGCCGACGAACTAGAAGCAGGACCCCGCCCCCTCGCCCACCCTCCCTATCAGTTCGATAGTGGTTGAAGTTCGAAGGGGCTAATCGTTCAACTGATATGGTTTTAGATAACCATGTTTCAGTAAGGATCACAATATTGCAATCCTGGCTCCTAATCCCTAGCGCAACTCATTTTTTTCCAACGCTGCACACATTAGTGTGCCACAGTTTAAGGCTGTGTGGCTGGAAAACCGGTGCTTGTAAGTGATGTTCGCTCAACTTTCCAAAGCCCTCGAGCGCAATACCCGAGGGTCAACTACGTTTTTTAACGTAATAATTTGCTCCACGTCCTGCATAAAGCATCAACACTTCTTCTCGAGGGGCCCTGACCTGGCGGGGGTTGACACCATTTCGATGACCGTATCATTGATAATCGAGCCACCCTGGTCTCCGGTTTCCGTGGCCACCGAATATGTATCAAACGTCCCACTTTCCGGGCCGTGTCCCTGGTCTCCTAGTTTGGCCATTCTTGCCTCTGGAGTCTGAGTAGACTTAGAGGTCGCGATCGGTGTCAGCGTCTGATCAGCGACTTTAGCCGGAGTAGGGAATGCTTTCTTGGGGATTGTTTTCACCCCAGTCACTCCCTGCGTATCGCTGTCTGCTTCGGGTGGGACGCTGAGCGGTTGCCCTACCGTCCTTACTGCCTTTATTGGAACAATTGGAACTGGGGTTGGATTCCTATTGAACATAACAATGGGGGCCTTTGCCCTCTGCACCGTCGGTTTCACACCAGCTTTTGGCTGTTTGCAGGATCCCGCTTTAGTTTCGATCTTCTTCACAAGTTTTGGTCCCGCGGTTACCAACTGTTCCGTCCTCAAAGGAGTCCAGGCAGCACCTGATGCATAGCTCAGCTTGCTTTGGTTTACCGGTGTTTTAGCAACACCCGGTTTCAGAGAGACCTTTTCGAGGGATATCTTGAGAGTCTCCTTTCTGGTGACCTTATTCTTGCCTGCGCGACTGCATGACCCTGCGCTGGAGTCTGCTGTGATCCCTGCCTTCGGGTATCAGGTGTGATCTGATACCTTCCCCCAGTGACTCGCTCGATTTTCTCGCAGTTACTGAGCATCAGGTCCCGGACTGCAGGGTTTCCGAACTCCACTAAGATGGGCCTAGCCCTTCTTTGATGCGCGCTGCCTATGAGATCGATCCAGCGGCCCATCCTCTGCACTCTCTTATTAAGAGCATGTGGGGGTAACCCAGCAAGTCTCAAGAGGTCATGGACCTTTCTATGTTCTATGTCAGCCCGCGCTTTCGCATTCCTAATTATTGTTTCCTCGTTGTTATGAATGAGGATGTTCCTGTTTCTTCCCATTTCCTTTTCGTTTTCTTTATTTGAGAAGTGACATTTTCCTTTCTAACGTGGTAACTTCCCCTTCTAGCTTCTTTAAGATTTCCGTCAGCTCTTCCTGCGAATCCCATGAGTTCTGGATTTTCACTCCGGTGTTGCCTGCCTTTAGATTGAGTTGTCCGCCTGCCCCCTCTGCCAGTGCTAAGCATATGTAGCAGAGCCACTGTAAGGCGTCGTTTCCCACATAAGCTTCGTAGGCATTGCGTTCTATGCGGGCAAATCCTTGGTGGTACCAGTAACCGCAGCAATCACACTGAATATCGTTAAGGACAATTTTCTGACACTTAAGAGCTTCACAAAAGCTTGCTTTGGTCACAGCGGAAGCTTGCAATGTGCAGTTCTTTTCTCTATGAAAAACGATTTACGCTATGAAATCACTGACTTACCGAATATCTTCGCTAAGCGGTTTACGGACTTCCACACGATTTGCAGCGGTTTCAGCAGCTTTCACTTACAGTATCTTGTAATAACGAGACTAGGATTTACCACGTCGAAAATTTGAACCGAGCGCTCAAGGTCGTTCAGTTTTGTTTTTCACGGGGACTGACACGCTTGGGAACTGAAGGTTTCGAGTAGCCCGAGTTCTGGGAGTAGGTGTATGGTTAGGTGATGGACGGGTATTCTCGGAGTAGTTGTAAGTTGCTCGGTATCCGATTGTGTCTGAAACAAGGACGGGACAGGACAGGTCACAGGACTTCCGGCGGAGCCATGAGCAGTCCAGTTTCATGCACTAATGAGCTTAAGAGCACCATGGCGCTGCGACAATTGTGTTATTTCGTTCACGTAGACGTGAGTGAGTGCGCATATAAAAAGGAAAAACGCACTTCTGATTGTGCCTCGGAGTGACAGTACACAAAATTGAAATTCAAATCACAGGACGTAGAGAGGCCTTCGCCTGTTGGGTGTCCTGGTAATGTCGGGTTTCGTCTGTGGACCGACTCTCCACGAGGAAGTAATATCTTGAAGGTAGAAGGGAAAGGGAGACGGCGCGGTATATGTTACATACATTTCATCAGTAAACTAAGGGAACCCTGATCTCCTGGGCAGTTCTGGAAATAAGAGATACCACTCCTTGTCCAGCTCTAGTTTGAAATCCTTCATTGTGGGACATTCAACTATTCGAGCTGGTAGTTTGTTCCATTTGGAACTACTCTATTTGCAAAGAAGTGATATCTAATCGCTAGCCTACAACCGGTTCTCTTCAGTGTGTAACAGTGCCCTCGAAGGATGTTGTTGGCCCTCAGGGTGAACAAGTGCCCAATGGGGGACTGCTCCATGTTCCCGGTAGCTTTGTACACTTCAATGAGGTCCCCTCTCATCCGTTGGTGTTCTAGAGAGAACCGGTTCAGGGAGTTCAGTCTTTCCGAGTAGCTGAGTCCTTTTAGACACCAGACCATCTGGGTTGCTAGCCGCTGAACGTCTTCTAGAACTTTGATGTCCTTCTGAAGATACGGTGCCCAAGTCTAAACACAGTACTCGAGGTGAGGTGTACAG